AGGCCTGGGTTGATGACATGTACCTCTACAGAGCTTGTGCACTTGTTTCCCAGACCAGCTTTTGCGAAAATGCTTTAGCTTGGTGGAGGTTTTAAACTGGAACCTCATGTGAGGGTAGGCTCTTGGTTACAAATCTTCAGTGTTCTACTCGGAGCCAAGGTGGCAACGAGGTCCTTTACTTTTCTGTGCCTGTGAGTGAGTTTTGTTTCTAATCTGCTCTTTTCTGAATATTAAGCTTTCCAGGGGTTTTGGCTTGATAAGGCCAGATACCCAGCTTCTCACGGGGGCACTGACCAACATGCCTCACGGTTTCTGCAACTGACAAAAGTGGACATGGGCTTGGAAGGTGTAGGACCATAGTTGGTCTTCAACAGTTCTCTTTCTTTCCAACCTCCGCTGTGCATCTAAAAAGATGGCTTTCTGTTTTATTCAGCATGTCCAGGTATTTTGTAGTTGGAGGATTTTGTCATTATTGAATCTTTCATATTGGCAGATACAGCAACTATTTTCTACCTAATATGTGTGTTTACCCTCTGCTTAGGTGTTTCTTGTACCAAATGGTAATGGATTGCTGTCTAAGACCCAACTAAAATATGTAACTGCAAGGTAGGTTGGTGGTCCATGTATTAGGAGGAGCACGGTTATCTATTTCCTAGGCTTTTACTATATGTCAGATATACTTTCATTTCCAAATTAATAAGAACAATCCCCCTCAAAACTCTGCCGGTCTTAAAATCCTGGAAGAGGTAAGAATAATCTACAGTAGTCATAGATCCAGTGGTAAAAGAAAATAAAAATATATGTGTAATTATTGGTAAGATGAATTTGGACAACTGAAGACATATAGCACCTTGAAAAGGTGACACCAAACATTTCCTGATTATGTTCAGTGTGACTTTTAATGAAAAGCACACCTTTAAAAAATCTTTGCCCATTATTATAATGTACAATCTGCCTTTATTGCCTTAAATGGTCATAAAGGTTATTTTATTATTGAAATGTCAGTAGAATGCAGGGGGAAAAGTTGAAAAGTCACTAAAGCTATAATGCAACCTCTTGTCAAGAACTTGTGTATCTGTGAAAACCCCTTGGAGCAATATCTATACTGAGATCTTAAACTTCAATAGGCATCTCTTTGCATAATTTAAAATGTATAGAAAAAAGGTTGAATCCTATGAATATTTTCCCCCATGATATTTTTTCAATAGAAAGCAAAACCAATAACAGCAAATACTAATTGTGGGGCATAATGAATTTAGTAACATATAGTGGACAAAATATTTTTTAAAAATGTGGTAGCCACAATATCTCAGTAAACATAATTAAATTTTTTTACTATCAAATCCTCAATAAGCTATATCTTCTCCCACAACACAGACCATAACCAACGCTGCTGACTGCCTTCTCAAAATGTGTTAATAATATTCCTCCTATTGTGTTCACTGCTTTTCTTCACCTTTGCAGATGACATTTTTCAAACTATAAAATGCATTGTGCTGGCAAACCTTCTTGCTTCAACAGTTCTCAATTTTATAACAGTAAATCTACATCCTTTGCTACTGAGACACCCACTGTCTTTTGGTATGTGACTTTGGATGAGGCAGAGAACAAGCCATACATTTAAAAAATCAATATCTCACCTTATCAATATTCATTTTACTTTGTCAATACAAAATACAAAGGTGAAAGAGCAGTAAATAAGCCAAAGCACTGAAATAAATTTGGTGTTCCTGTCACCATTAATAAACGTTCAACAGATAACACCGCTGGCTGGTCCACAGCCTTAAAAAGGCTCTGAAATTATACTTCAATGCAATTGCTAAAACAGGTGAATTAAATTTTCAACACACTAGGAAGTAATGATCATCAAATTTAGGGCTATTTATTTTAGAGGGGACTTTAAACCTTTTCAAAAAATATTATTCATTATACAATATATAACTTTATCTTTAGGGTCTTAAATTGTTGTATAAACCCAGTTTGGGATTTTAAAGTTAAAGTGCCTAATTATAATTTTCTGACGATTTTTTGGTAAATCTTTTCTAAACCTGCTGTTTGACTGCATCATATTTCACGTATAAATTAGAGGAGATTATTAAACAATATTCAGCCTTTCTTATTCTCTACTTTAAATGAGCGTTATCTCCACCTGTATTTTTCCATCTTAGGTTGAATGTTAACTACAGGCAGAAGGAATTGTGAAAGTATATCTCAGTTCGATGCGTTTTTTTGGGAGGTCTGCAAGGACCTATAAAATGACAAAAAAAAACCCCACAAAACCTCTAATTCTACATGCTAACTCAACTTTGGAAGCTTACAAATATAACTGACATTTTATTATGTGACTTACTATATTCCAGAATTTGAAAATTCTGATGAACTAGGATTCATAACCTCATTATCAAATGTATTTATGCAAATACATTTCTTACTTGGATTCAAAAAATAATCTTCACCTTAGATTATTAGAAGGTATTCTTTTTTAAAACTCAGGACTTTTAAATAACCTCATTCTCGTCCTCTCTGAGAGGAACAGTTATGCATGAATTTTAAAAATGTACTGAAAATGAGTAACATAATTCTCCCGCTCCACTACATTTTGAGTAATTACATGATTGCATTACATTTCTATGAATTTTATTATTTAAGTAAAAAAACTCTGGTAATATAATAAAAATCCCAAATCTTAAGAGAATCACAATAGTTTTGAGATACATAACATCTGGAATATCCCATTGGAGGCTTGTGAACGTTTTAGGCTAAAGTTTAATATTTATACCCATACTTCATATATATATATATATATATATATATATATATATATATATATACACACACACACACATATATATATATATATATATGTGTGTGTGTGTGTGTGTGTATATAAATTATTTCCTCTGATGCTATTGAGTTGTAATGTCAAAATCACCTTGTAGAAATAATTATATCATCATCCTCAACCATTTTGCATTTTCCTTCTCACCTCACATATGTTCAGAGCATCTGGACTTGACCCTGATATTCTCTCTTCCTTATGCTTTAGTCGCATTCCTAAGATTGTTCTTAGACTATCTGTGACACTAATGCTCGAATCACTGAAAGATAAGAGAATTCAGGGGACCATTCAACTGGAATGGGGATATTAAAGACTCCTACACCGCCTTAGGAAAGATTTGAGGAACTCACGCCATGGATTTGATCTAAAAGTGGCTATATGTTCCTGTTTAAAGAGCTTTCTTAGAAGTATTCTCATGCATATTCTGTATCTCTGCATAGAAATATTTAGATACATCTTCTGTGAAACTTAAAAGACATATAATAGAGGGCTCAAGGAAACATATGTAAAGAGACAGTCTTTATATAAGTGTATTCTTACAAAAAGGCCATGAGTATGCTGTCATGGAAACAACATGTGTTTGGGAGTCATGTAGGTATAGGCTTGAAGCCTCCCTTTGCCATTCAATAATTATGTCTTCCTAGGTAGCTAAGAAGATCCTAACACTTCACTGAATTTTAATTTTATGGTGTAAAGTGATGATAATAACTTTACATAAAGTTGTTGCAAAGATAAAATGAAATAATCAAATTTCTGGTACATCGTTGGTACTCAATGCGTGGTAAAGTATTATTTTACATCAATACAAACACATTCTACACACAGGTGTTCCAAACCTCCAATTTCTGAAAATTTAATACAGGTAGAAAATGAAGCGCAAATATTATAACCACATGCATAATTTCATAATGTAGCCCTTTATATGGGTGCAAAAACTGCATTATGAGTACTCCAGTTTTAAATTATTCTTCTATTTTGTTAGTGCTGAACTATGGGATAGGTTCCCCAAATAGAGAATTTAAGCTTCACATTTTGTATCTGCTTTGAAAAACAACCATGTCAAGATACATACACACCCACACACACATATTTCTTCCTCAGTGCTTACACTCATTCTGACATGAATCTTATTTTCATATTCTATTCTATAATTAATCATGGAAAAAATAACTTTTCCTACAAAAGGTTTCCCAAATGAAATGAAGAGAAAGTTTATAAATCTGAATGGTTAAGGAAGGCAGGCAAGAGGCCAGGGCCATTATTCTTTGTAAACTGACCAAGTGCATGCACCGCAAACACTTTTTCTAGTCAGTTTGCTGCATCACATAGGCGCGTGGTTAACTGTTGTTTATTCCTACGTGGGCATCAAAATGTTAACGCCAGCTGGCTTCCTCCTGTCGCTGCTTTTCCCTCTGCCTCCCGTACCATTGCTCTCGCCATGTGTACGAATCTTACTCGCCTCCTTCACGACCACCGAGCTCGAGTCTTTGCCTTTCTGGCTTCTTGTCCCTCTGGTCCAGTGACTTATCTGTCAGCACTTGTGGCGTTCCCTAGTCCACACTCAGTAGAATGACATGTTCTGTGAATGATGTGGTTTTTGAGGTGGAAAAGCTGGGAGATTTTTTTTTTTTATTATTATTATTCTAATGCCACCATTGTCTAAATAAAGAAAGGCAACTCTAAGACTGCTGCAGAGCAGAGCTGGGACAGAGAAACCAGACTACCCCATTCAGGGCCAGATGGAAATACCCAGAACAACATGGGGCTTGCGTTTTGAGGGCAAGCCCTGAACTTTTGAATGTATGACTATTAATCTCTTCTGGGGTTATTTGCCTTTGCATCTATTAATATTTATGCCTTGTTCTCCCAATAAGTCTGTAAATTTCTTGAGACCAAAGACACAGCCTTGGAGTTTCTGCATCCTTCTATGCCTCACGCAAAGTATTGCGTTGGGGCAGGTGAGCAGCAAGTATTTTATAGATTGGCTGCCTGAACAGTCTTCAGAAGGAACGTGTACTCCATCTTGACACTAAATGCAAATGGTTTAACAGTTGCCTGTAACTGTGTCTTCAGTGCGTGTGATTAAAAATGATCTCTATTTTATTCCTGATGCTTTACAAACTTTGAGTCTGTGCTCTGCCCCGCCCCCTTTTTCTTTTACCTGCTGTAGTAGGTCCAGGCAAAGGTGCAGCTTTCCTCCTCCGTTTGATATCTCCTGTGCATAAGGATCCCAAATGCATGCTTGTTTGCCTACAAGTAATTATCAGAAAAAACTATTAACAAAGGAGGGGGAAAAAATGACACATAAATACACAGCTTGTATAATCTGAACCTAAATCAAAACATTCTCCACAAAGATGGAGCGGCATAGTAAAACCACCAATCTTGTTTATATCGAAACATAATTACGTTTGTTGACAAGCGTTCAGCAGCTAAATGCGCCATCATAAATTGTTACTGGAATGAATAATATAAAACGAATGCTTTTTAATTTTCAAAACTGGCAATCTTTCTGGCTCAACATAAAATCAAGCACTGTTGCTTCTGACAGGAAAATAGTGAAGATTAATTATCTAAAGAGATCACAATATTGTTGCTAGGTTATCAATTGGTTACTAATGCTTTACTGTCAGAACAGCATTCATTACAGGAAAAGTATGATCAATTTCTTTGAGGATGTGATGCGGCAGCAAATTCTCTTAAAACATTTTAAATAGAAGGAAATAGTGATGCTCTCCCTTATAATTCATATGATTAGAATCCTTCAGTTAATTATTTATCAGGTGAGGAAACATCAGATGCATTAATGCTGGTCTACTGCTACTAAACAGGCTAACATGAGACTGGGTGATTATATCTGTGAAGACATGACACATAAGAATGGAGAAGTAGACCTTCTGCTATTGTTAGAACTAGTTAGAATTAGATTATTCTGTCTCATCATGGACCCCTACATTAGAGAGTTTGGGAAAAAATTAGAAACGACCCGTTGGAAATCAAGACAAACTAATACAAAGCTGACGAGGACTTGAAAGTCTTGAGGATTTTCAAGCTATGGAAGGCCTCTGTGTTCATTTCCTGGGTTATAATCCCTGATGGGGGGTTTGGGGTAGTAGTGTCTGGTGATCATGAGACAGAAACAAATGAAACAGGTTGATTAAAGCACATGTTCTTTCAGTGACTCAGAGAGGTATCCGGTAGTATCCTGAAGTGTTCTGGGGCTCACTTTGAAAATAACCAGATTATCAGAGAAAAATTTAGAAGGAAAAAAAAAATTAGTTCAGGTAAGATCCCAAGTGTATGTTTATACGCATGCATTCAGGCATTTCAATGTTATGAAAAATTGGAACTGTGGGACAATGTTACTTTAAGTTCTAGCTATAAGGCAGAGAAAGTAAAGTATAGCTAATGATGAGGCTAAACCTAGAGGTATACACAGCTAAAGAAATACACCATGAAAACCTATCAATATAGCTAAGGGTAAATGGGTATTTGTCTGGCTTTCTCATCTTTTTGTATTGAGTGCATAGTTTCCCTCTTACAGAATATTTATAATTACTTAAAAACTTTTAAAAAATTAGTTCAGTTAGTGACTAACTTTGTGCATATCTATCTATCTATCTATCTATCTATCTATCTACCTATCTGATATCTCACATATATATGTCAAAGTGTTCATTAACATGCATAACTTTAGCATTTTTATTGGATTCTATGGTGTGGTCTTGCCTCTCTCAGTGCCAAGGAAAAGGAATGGCAATGATCACATCTACTTTTAAAACTATGTGGAAATTCTAAAAAAAATTAAAATAATAGCAGAGAAGACACATTATTTTTATACAAAATTAATGAATTCACTTATTCAGCAAGTACTCCTTAATATCTGCTACTGACTTGGCATAAGGCCCCACAGCAGAGGTGCAAATGCGGAGAGCAGGAAAAGCGGGGCTGGAAGATACAAAGGAAATGAAAAGTTCACGTCCTGTTACTGGGAGCGTTCAGGGTGAGCAGGAGCTGAAGTCCCACGTGGATGAAGTGACCAGGGACAGTGGTGGCACAGCCAACTGCACTATTACTAGAAACTTTATTTTTTAGTCTGTTATAACAATTCTTAACCTGTGGCATTGACTGTACCCTTTTTTTCCCCTTTTTTGGGGAAAAATGTATGCTTCCCTGTAAAACTGTACTTTATAGAACACACCCTTCCAGTCATGTCATCCTGATTCCACGGGAGCTTTGCCACAGCTCTAAGTGATAGGTAACAGAAAGCAATGGAAAATAATTCCTGTCTACAGAAAAGCAAAGGGGGTCTGTCCTGGGGGAGAAGGACACTCATATCGCCTGTGGAAAAGCGAGTTCTGCACCCATTTGCACCTTCATTTCAATATTCCTGACTCCTCATAACCCTGGGTTTCTTTGACTTCTCCATTGAACCTGTGATAGGATCTGCCTGGTTCCCGCATTCATTAATGTGTTAAATAAAATCTCAAACACATGTTCATGTGTTTCAGATCGAATCTGTAAAAGAGTCACAGTTTTAACTTTTTTGTACAAAATTATCCTTTAACCGCTCTGATCCCTCTTGAAACCTTCCCCTAGCAAAAGACTGGAATAAAATTTGCCTTCTGCAGAGCATATGTCCCAGACAGGCTTGGATATCAGGAACAGCTAAGGAGGAGGGGAAGGCAGCATTCTGAAAACGGGAATAAAATGGGGGTCTGAATCCCAAAGCGTGGCCCTTCCGTTATAGAGCCGTGAAAACCAACCCACAGACTATCTGCTTCTGACCCTCTTGTTAACACATAGTAAATATTCCTACAGGTGAAGCCACTGCTGGTTGGGTTTTCTACACTCATTGCTGGAAGTATTTCTAAACGATAAAGAGTTTGTTCTGTTCAGAGAATTGTGAATAGATCAGGATGTCTGGAAGGGCAGTGTACACAGAAGGGTTACAGTTGACCTTTGAACAACGAGACAGTTGAAAGGGTTAAGGGCGCTGACCCCCACACTGTAGAAAATCCTGGTATAACTTTTGACTCCCCCAGAATTTACTCATACCCACCTGTTGACCAGAAGCCTTATCAATAACATAAACAGTCTATTGACACATATTTTGTATGTTATCTATGTATATATTTTTAAACTGTATTCTTACAACAAAGTAAGCCAGAGAAAAGAAAATGTTATTAAATATATATTTATATTTATAAACACTACACACACACACACACACACACACACACACACACACACACAGAGCAAAGCTACATGAAAAACAGCCAAACGTTCAAGGAGAATAAAGTTAAAGTTAATGAAGTCAGTCCATCGAACCAGGAGACCTGATCCATAAGAAAAGCAGCGCGCTGTATTTCAGTAATTCCGTCAAGCATTGACTACCTGCTACAGCGCGCTGGGAGACCTGGATTATTGATCAGCCAGATTACCCCATTTAGGCTTGTCCTCCCCCGTTCCCTCAGGCAGGCGCAATGGAGTCGCGAAAAACAACACCGCGTAAGGGCCACTCTCTTATTTAGTTGTCACTCCTCATGTAAAACATAGCAGTTATTTTTTAATTTAAAATCAATGAATGTCTCCAAGGCAGCCTCGTTGGCTTCAGCCTCAATGAGTCGTTTGTCTTTGCAAAGCATGACGCTCAGATTATTGCTCAAGGTGAGCGTCGGCAATTTTGGTTTGTTTTTTGCTGTGGTGTTCTGAAGACTGACAATAATACACTGTCCTATGAACAGGCCCAAAGGTATTAAATAATAATGCTAAGACCCTTTTGTAAGGCACTGGATGGAAATTACCAATTAACTACATCAATATGTTTATTCAGTTAGAGTATGTGCCTGTGGTAGAGAAGAGGGGAGACAAATTAAAACCTGATAACTTTATATAACTACTGACACCTTTAATATTAGGGGTAAACAAACACACGTTTAAGTGAAAAGGATAAAGAAGCAAAGGCGTTTCATTACTAATTAGCACTGTCGCTTATGATGTGAACCATAGCTTCCCATGCATTAATTCTGAAAATGTTCCCATTAAATATGAGAAAAGCGAGCTCAAAAAGAAGTCTTAATTGAGTTTATTTGCTTTCAAAACAGGCTTCACTCATTTATCCCATCATCCTTTTAGATGGTGTGGCGGTAGGAAACTGGGCATTTTATCTGGAGGGGAAAAAAGTAAAAAACAAAACAAAAAAAACTTCAAAAACCAAAAAGCAGAAAGAAAGCAAAAAAAAAAAAGAACTCTAGCGAGAACCACCTTGCCTGAACGCCGGCTTTTGACACGGGCTGACATGGGCTGAGGCAGGCAGTGTCACACACAATAATATTAGAGAGCAGACAATAGGAGCGTGTCTCTTCGCTCTGCGCCTTTACAAATAGAAGCTTTTCAGAGAACTAGGCCCAGTGAAAGCTGCCCCCTGGACAGAACTCGTTCCCAAACACCCTCAGACAAGCTGCAGAGTGGAGACAAACAGATGTGACTGCGGGCCCTGGCATTTGGCAAGAACACTCACTGTCAGTGAGAAAAAACATCAGCCTGGACAGGCCATCAGCTGCACAGCAGTGAAGCGGGTCTGTGGTGTCGCTCGAGGAACAATCTGGTGGCACAGACGGGAGGATGGGGGCTGGAAAGTTGGGTGCTGTGCAAACCTCCTCTTCCAGACTCGAGTCACCCTAGCCGCCCCGGTGTTGGGTGTCCGGTGTCTCAGCATATTAGCCTGAACACGTCAACATCAGTATCTAGCTCTTTTCCTTTTGGTACAAAATGCACACGAGGTATCAAGTACCCTGAAGCATAAATATTTCTTAATGACGAGAATCACAGCAAATGCTTGCTTTCAGTGCCATTTTCTCTCACAGCCCTTTCTTGCGCGGGAAGCACGCTTTGCGCTTGGTGGTGCTGGTCACAGCCTGACCACTTCTGGGCTGTGGGGCCTTCCCTCTCTGTGGCGTTGCTCATCTGACTTCACGCTATGCCTCCAGCCCATGCCCCACCTCTTCTTTGGAACCACCCTGACTTGAGCAAGAAGAAGTTGACGTTTCCAATCGGTGCCTGAGCTCTCTACTTACGTCCAGTGATGGGGCCTTCCTTTCTTCTGCACCAAACCCGTCTCATCCTACGTCTGGCATCTAGTTATTTCGGATTTAGGTCCCTGCCTGGACCTCCCCAGATGCTCAAGTCTGGCCCTGAGATGCACCCAGGTACCCGAGGCTCTCCAACGCAGATGGCTGACCCCTGTC